GTGTCTATCAACAGAAGAATGGGTTAGCAAAATGATGTATGCCCATAAATGGAATATAATTCAGCCTTAAAAAGGAAGGAAATTCTGATACATGCTACAATATGGATGAACCATGAGTACCTTATGCTAAGTGAAATAAGCCAGATACAAAAGGACAAATATTGTATGATTCCACTTATATGAGCTACCTACAACAGGTAAATTCATAGAGACAGAAAGTAGAATACTAGTTGTCAGGAGTTATGGGTAGGGAGGAATCAGGAGTTTGAATTTAATAGGTATAAAGTTTCCATTTTGTAAAGACACGCAAGGCTGGCAGGAGTGGACCCTGGTATTGTGTGGGAATATGTATCTTTCTTTCTGGAGGATTGTGTGAGAATATGTATGAAGAGCCTTATACTGTGTCTGTACATGCCTTCTGTGCCCTCTGACACAACAATTCCGCTTTTTGGCCTTTCCCACTTAGAAACAATCATAGATATCCACGATGTGTATGTATAAGGGTGAACACCTATTTATAATATCAAATAATTGGAAACAAATGTATAAAAGTGGGGCATAGTAAAATAAAGTATTACACTACCTATATACAATTAATTTTAAAAATTGTCAGAGAATATTTAGTAGCCTGAGAAAAAGTTCTCAGGATATCATTAATGTTAAAAAAGCAGATTATACAACAATCAGTTCAAAATACATACATTTTTACTAAAAAATTATATACACGTACACATGTAAACAGAGGGAGAGTTATAATACAGGTGATTTTAGATTCATTTTTCTATTTTTCTTTATTTTCCACATTTCCATACTATATATGTATTATTTATGTGATCTGAAGCAAAAATACTGTAAAAATATTTTTAAGTTAAATCAGTCTTCTCAATTTTTTATTAAAGAACACTGAGCCTAGGTGAGGTTCAAATTTTTCCTTCACAAGTGTCACCAAAAAGGGGTGCAAAAAAATGCCACATTTTTATTGCTGTAAGCCAGAATTTACTGTCAAAAATCAGAGTGTAAGAGAGGGTTTAAAATGTTTAAGAGAATAAATTTCGCAATCACTTCAGAAGTACCTATTTGCATGCAAATCAATGGTATGCTAATTTCCAATCATTCCCTCTTATTCATTAAAACCCCAGTCACCCAAGGCTCTCCCCAACCTGATAATTCAGGGTGAGTGTGAGAAGAAGGAGAGAGGGAGAGAAGAAGAGAGGGAGGGAGGGAGAGAAGAAGGGAAGGAGGGAGAGAGGGAGGGAGGGAGAGAAGGAGGGAGGGAGAGAGAGGAAGGAAGGAAGGGTGGGGAGGGAGGGAGGGAGGGAGGGAGAGAAGAAGGGAGGGAGGGAGAGAGGGAGGGAGGGAGAGAGAGAGGAAGGACGGAAGGGAGGGAGGGAGGGAGGAAGGAAGGAAGGAGGGAGGGAGGGAGGAAGGAAGGAAGGAGGGAGGGAGGGAGGGAGGAAGGGAGGGAGGGAACGAAGGAAGGAAGGAAGGAAGGAAGGAAGGAAGGAAGGAAGGAAGGAAGGAAGGAAGGGCCGCTGGCGCCAGGAAATAGAGCTACATTTACTCTCATATCAATTCTCTAGTTGGGCCTGCCATTAGGATTCTCATTCTCCCCTGTCCCGTCACCCAAGGACATCCATGCTTTAACTTTGAGGCTGTAAACTGACATGTTTGCATTAGTGCCCCATGTGGACTTCTGCTGGAAATCTGTATCTTTTTATTTGTCATAATATTAACGTGGCTTAGATTTGGGCGCAGCATTATGGAAAATGTTGCCAGACAATAACTGAGATGACCGCTCTGGGATCCCCGAGAGAGGCGCACAGTAAGACGAGAACAGACGCCTGGCTGTGCCGGCCTGGCCAGTGGTTCCCAGGGCGCACTGGGGCTTGCGGGGTCCCCGGAGCACCGCCTGAAACGCACCAAGGAACCCCACTCTCCTCGCCTCTTAACAAAACCAGGACAAACCAGCTGCCACTGAAGCAGAGAACTCGGGAAGGCCCAAGGGGACCAAGACGCGGCGCGGCTGCAGGAGAAAGCTCAGCCTTGTGCAGTCCAGAAATTCTGCCTTGAAGTTCACAGGGACCCGACCCAGCCGCCCTAGGAACACGGAGACGCTCTAGAGCCGCGTGGAACCTCAGCGCAAGAACTTCAAAAAAGACAAACCCGGGTGACCCTTGAACCCGTACTCAAGGCTAGGTATGCCCCACATTCTGTGAGGGCAAACAAGCAGGAAAGTCTATTCAGGGAGGAAAAGCCATCCAGAAGAGCCGCATTGACCCAGCCAGGAAGCGTGAATGTGGCCTTTCTCAAAGAACAATCAGCTTGGTTCTCCCGATTTCATAAAGTGCAGAGGGAGAGGCCATGTGCTCAGGCTGGTTCCACCATCTGGGGCTCCAGCACGTGGGGCTCCAGCACGTGGGACTCCAGCAAGTGCGACTCCACCACCTGGGGCTCCACCCACTTGAGGCTCCACCCACCTGGGGCTCTACCCATCTGGAATCCACCACCTGGGGCTCCACCCACTTGAGGCTCCACCCACCTGGGGCTCCATCACCTGGGGCTCCACCCACCTGGGGCTCCCTCCACCATGTGGGACTCCACCCACAGAAGCCTTCACCACCACTCCACTTGTCTAGGGCTCCACCATGTGGGACTGCATCTACCTAGGGTTCCTGGCTTCACTTACCTGGGGCATTTCCTGGCTCTACTCACCTAGGGCTCCACCTAACTGGACAGCACTTCTTCTCAAGCACGCAAGGGTCTCCTGTGGATCCTGGCCAAGGTGCCATCTGCACGGAGTCTTTGAAAGCCACCATTCTAATCAGCCCCTGCATTAACGTCTTCTGTGCCTCCTCGACACCCTCAGGAAAGTACCTGTTCTTAGAATGGTGTGCCAGGCCCTTTCGTTACCCCACATGCCTACCAGGCAGGACTTTGGCAGCCCTAGGTAGACCTTGCAACTGGTTTTCCCACCTCTGCATGGGTGGTACCCACCGCCTGGGGTGCCCATCTCTCTTGTATCTGCATGACAAACTTCTATTCCAGCTTGAACACCAGCTCAAAAATCACCTCCTCCAAACTCCTCAGCCTACTCCAGCTTGGCTGCACCAACTCTGACTTTGTCACATGAGACAAAGAAGGTAAGTATCTCTTTCACCTATCTCTTTGAACTACAGGTCAGAAAGATCTGAGTTTGAATTCTGGCTCTCTTACCTATCAGCTGGGTGGTCTTGGGTGCGTCAACCTTGCAAAGCCCCATGCTACTCACCTGTCAAATATGAATAGTAGAGTCCACTCCGCAGAGCTCTTTGAGAGAATGAAATAATTACACCGCCTTCACCCTCCCCCAAACTGTAAGACCCTCAAAAGCATCTTATTCATGTTATCCCCAGGATTTTGCAGGGCCTTTACCACTGGAGGGGCCCCCAAACTATCTTGTGAATGAATGACACTGGTGACTCAAGAGAGAGCCAGTTTATAGAATTTTCCTTAACAGGCCAGAGTCATGGCATAGCTCTGCTGTGGGTTCAGAGGGTGGTGCTTTACTCAGATCCACATAATAATGCCTGAGGAGGTTTAGAAAGATTCTGCTGCTCCCACTCAAAGACACTGCTTCTGGGACAGATGCAGAGCTGGGGAGGGAGCTTTGTTGGTAGACCCCCACGGACTGTAAGGTGCATAAGGGTGGGTTTACAGAGGTTTCCCTCCTCTCCTCCCTCCCAGCTCCTCTGAAGCTTTGCCTCTCCTCCTGCCTCTTCCTGGGCTGTCACAGATAACAAGCAGCCACCTCTAGGGACAGCCAGAGGTAAGGCAGGGATCCACAGGAAGTGGGAGGAGGAATGAATGAGCTTTGAACACAAAGCACAGTGGCTCAGGGTGACATGTGGCTCACCTCAGTTGCAGGGACTGAAAGATGCACTCATCCATAAAACAAGCAAATGTATCCTGCCAGTCATGGATTTTGGCAACTGCATGTGTGTATTCCTGCAAAGTCAATGAACACAACAGTGCAGCCCAGAATCCTTTTTAGGCAATACCCTGAGGACCAGTACAAGTATGGAAACCGTGCAGGTGGTGGTAGGACAATCAGTTAAGCCCGTTCCTAGTCCCCAAAAGGTCATCTTGGCCCTCCAAAGCTGGAAGGCAGCAGTGAAGGCATCCCAAACAGTCACTTCAACCCTGGCTCAGTTTACCTCAGCCGCTGTGATTCCTGCTTCCTTCTGCAAAAATCTCAGCAAGGAATGTTCTCCCCCACTTGCACTTGGGCTGGAGAGAGACTAGGGTCAGTCAGTCAGTCTGTATGTGTGTGTGTTACCCACTGCCCGGGGTTGCTCACCTCTCTTGTATCTACCTGATAAACTTCTATTCCAGCTTGAACACCAGCTCAAAAATCACCTCCTCCAAACTCCTCAGCGTACTCCAGCTTGGCTGAGCCAACTCTGCCTTCGTCACATGAGACAAAACCCAAGAACAAAACCATAGAAATTGGCTCACATATTCCTCTTCTCTCAGACTCTGGGCACAAAGTGCCAGCCACCTACTCCCAAGAAGCTGCTGAGGACTTTTAAAATGCAAATGCCAGGTAGGGGGTAGGGCTTAGAGCTTATTCTGAGAGAGGGAAGTGAACTCCTTACCCTGATTGCTGGTAAATGGCAGTCCTGGTGACACGTAACCATTTTCCCCATTCCTCCTCCCTCTTTTCTTCTCAGCTTAGACTCACTCTAAGGTGAGGCAAATTGCTGATGCCCCTCGGCTCCCTCTGCCACTCCATTCCTAGGAAATGGCTGCCACCACGGTTCCACACCCCACCTCTCCTCTGGGAGGGAAGGATTGGCAGGATCGATGACCTCTGGCTCCAAGAGGGTGATCATCCATCTTGAGACTTTCAGTTCTAGGGACACAAGCATGGCCTTCATCCACCTCTCATGACATCACCTGGTGTCATACGGGTTTTTCTTCTATTGTTAGATCACAACTGGGCTCCCTGGATTCTCTGACAATGCCACAATTGGCAGCATCACTGGCTCTTAGCTACTGAAAACATAACAGAGACGAGTCTCGCAACAAGAAATCAATGTGATGGATAATAGGCAGGAAAAGCAGCCCCCAGAGAATAAGGGAAGGCCCCAGTGAGTCTAATTTTCATTGACCCAGTTTCACTGTCAAAGCACAGAACATAGCAAGACAGAGTGACCTCCAGAGTCAAAAAGCTTCAGACTACACTGCAAATGAAGCCACCACGGACTGTCTCTCTCTTTCTCCACGAGCCCATGGATGTTAACCACCAGTGAGTGAGTGACAAAGAGAATTCCCACCTTAGAAAGGAGCAGTTGAGTCCACAGTCATTTAAGACAGGTGATTTTCATATGTATAATGGGGGAAAAATCACTCTACCCCATTCTTATATAGGAATGTAATGGGATGGGGAAGGGGGCTCTGGGTGGTAAATGGAGCCAATCATGCTTGCATCTCACTTCCATGTATCACTGCACTGGCAGCATTCGCTCCCAGAAGCAGAAAGGAGTGTGAGGTGTGGATTGATGCTTTCTTAGAGGACCACAGTCCCGTGAACAGTCAGCGCACGTTGCCAAAATGTGGAAAGAATGTCAGAATGATTTTAAGAGTTTCGGGTTGACTAATACAGCCTCGGATTTCATTATCTAGGCAGTGAGTGACGGCTGCACTAGCATCCTGAGGAGGAAATTAAAGCATTCGTCGAGGGCCTGACTCAGGAACGGGTGGAGGAATGGATTATGGCAGCCACAGGAGACCAAGGTGAGGGCACAAGGGAAGGGCCAGGAAGTTCGACCCTTGAATAGCATCCGGAAGCATGAGAAGTGGTGAAAAGCTTGAGTGATGAGTTTTTTAATATGATACTTCTGTGGAACAAAACTTGGTCTGTCTCCCCCAAACTTCGGTAAATTCTGTTATCCACACAAAAGCTTTAGTGAGGTTTTTTTTTTGTTTTTTTTTTCCTACCTCAGAGCAAGGGGAGTTGTGAAAATGAATAAAATGGCTGAACTCCCCATCTGGGTCAAGGCAATGGGGAGCATGGCATGGTGTGATGTAGAAGAAAGATCCCCTGTGAGCCGGAGAAGACATGGGCAGGAAAACCCATACCAAAGCCTTCCATAAATCTCGAGGAAGAGTCGGGTAAGGTAGCTCACGCCTGTAATTCCAGCACTTTGGGAGGCCAAGGCAGGTGGATCACCTGAGGTCAAGAGTTCGAGACCAACCTGGCCAACACGGTGAAACCCTATCTATCTCTACAAAAATTAGCTGGGCATGGTGGTGGGTGCCAAAATCCCAGCTTCTAGGGAAGCTGAGACAGGGAGAATCACTTGAACCCAGAAGGCAGAGGTTGCAGTGAGCCAAGATCATGCCACTGCACTCAAGCCTGGGCAATAGAGCAAGACTCCATCTCAAAAAAAATCTCGAGGAAGACCTCTGATTCTCCATAATTGGAGAACCATAAGCCAGACCTATTTTGTTCTTAAGGGTCAGGGTAGCCCAGGTAACATCTGGGTTGCATACCTAACATGAATTGAATTTGCATTGCAACTAGATTAATACTTCTGATTTTTATAGAGGGATAGAAAAGAAAAACACAGCTATTAACATGTCCATATCTATAGTGTTTATCAATCCACTAGCACCTTGGGAGCACGTGCAGCATGCAGGGTTCCATTCTACAGGTGCTGCTGGACAAACTGTCTAAGGTGAAGGTGCAGCTGCTATCTTTCCCAATCCATGCGGTGTGATGTGTGGCCCTACTATGAGTGACTTGTATGCAGTTTGCACCAGATAGGACTCACCACAAGAATTCAGCAGCACCCAATCTGGTCCATTCCCTGTTTAATAAAAGAAAACCCATGACACATGCTTGGATGCCATGCCAATGTCCTGTCACTAGGAGCATTACTCGACTCTTATTCTCTCTTGCTGTGTTCTCATTTCAGATCTTGCGTGCTGATCGACACTGATCTGCACAGCAGCATGAATAACACTGGCCTAGGGCATACAAATAAGTACAAAATCGTTGCTCTCAGGGAGCTTACAAACTTTCTATTATACTAATACACATTGAAATATGTTCACGCCATGACAAGGCAAACATAAAATCTACTTACAAGACAGAAATGATGAATTGCAAAGTGAATTCACAAATAACACAAATTAGGAGTTTAAGAAAGGAAGCCATTTGGAGAAACCAGAAGATTAGAAATGAAAGAAAGAAAACTAGGTTTCAGGTCTGTGGAGGTGAGAGACCTTGAACTGAGTCTTGAAGGTTAAGATCAAGTTACATCTCACCACAAAAAGCATAAGTAGGTGAGGTAATGCATACATTAGTTAGCTCCATTTAGCCATGTCACAATATACACATATTTCAAAACAACATGTTGCACACAATAAATATGTACAATTATTTATCTGTCAATTTAAAAATATTAATGGGCTGGGCACAGTGACTCACGCCTGTAATCCCAACACTTTGGGAGGCCAAGGCAGGCAGATCACTTGAGGTCAGGATTTCTAGACCAGCTTGGCCAACATGGTGAAACCCCGTCTGTACTAAAAATAAAAATAAATTTTAAAAAGCCAGGCATGGTGACTGGCACCTGTAATCCAAGCTACTGGGGAGGCTGAGGCAGGAGAATCACTTGAACCTGGGAGGCAGAGGTATCAGTGAGCCCAGATTGTGACATTGCACTCCAGCCTAGGCAACAGAGTGAGACTCAAAAAAAAAAAAAAAGAAAAAATTAATGACCCCCAAAACCTTATGAAAAAGCAAAACCCAAAAAGGATCAGGATAGTTCCAGAGAAATCAGAAGTATATGAACAAAGGTCACACCTTTCTGTGTGAATTGAAGAGACAGTAAGCAGACCTGTTTGGCAGGGATGGAGAGCTGGTTCAAAAAAGTAATGGGAAACACAGGTTAGGGTAAGAAGGTAGAAGACACTGAATGCCAGAAATACAGAGCATAGATGTCATCCTGTACATCACAGACCACAGAGAAACAGGGGACAGCATTTCATGATGACTTATTTAGCCCATACTTTATCTGGTAAACACTGTGACACAAGAGACTGTGTGAGATGCTGAGGGAGGTACAGGATGCACCAAGGGTCAGGGAAGTGAGTACGGAGGCTGTAGCCCAAGGTTAAGGAATGACCCTCCTGCCTGAACTAGGGCAGTCATGGACAAGGAAGAAATAGAGCAAATCCAAGAAAAAAAAGAGGAAGGGTATCTTTAATTACTATTTGCATTGTAAATGAGGAAGACCTTCTTCACACTATGCCTACCCAGTTTACCAAGCTCTCTGTGTTAGTCCAAGTTCTCTAGAGGGACAGAACTAATAGGATAGATGTATATATAAAGGGGAGTTTATTAAGGAGTATTAATTCACACGATCACAAGGTCCCATGATAGGCCATCTGCAAGCTGAGGAGCAAGGAAGCCAGTCTGAGTCCCAAAGCTGAAGAACTTGGAGTCCAGTGTTTGAAGGCAGGAAGTGTCCAGCATGGGAAAAAGATGTAGGCTGGGAGGCTAGGCCTGTCTAGTCTTTTCACATTCTTCTGTCTGCTTTTTATCCTGGCCATGCTGGCAGCTGATTAGATGGTGTCCACCCAGATTAAGAGTTGGTCTGTCTTTCCCAGTCCACTGGCTCAAATGTTAATCTCTTTTGGCAACACCCTCACAGACACACCCAGGAACAATATTTTGCATCCTTCAATCTAATCAAGTTGACACTCAGTATTAACCATCACACTCTCCATCACCCTTCAAGATTCAGCTCAACAATCCCCCTTCTGCAAAACCTCCCTCAAGAGGGATTATTGACTTTCTCCATGGCACATCTCTTCCCGACCAACTTTGAACTTCTCACTAAAAAAAGGATGAATGAAAAGGGGAGAGAGGAGTTGCAGATGACTCTGAAGATTTCAAGAAAAGGTAACCTGGAAAATAGTAACATGCAGTGCCATTTCTGGACAAGGTCCCTCCTAGAACCTCTTCCTGGGAATTATGCCAGCAAACAGCCTCTTGAGCCCTTGTTCTTAGTAAATGCTAGTTGCCACTATAGTAAAGCACATATAAAATGCTGGGTTCACATCAAATAATAAAAATACACACCTATATACACACTTAACCTCTATTTGTATATAAATAATCTTATTGTATTTGGTCTACTGTGATGCTTGCCCACTTCACAGTTGACATCATTGGATAAATACTTGGAAAAAGGAATAGCAAGTGCAGTAGCTAAACAGTTTCACCATCATAGTAACTCCCCAACTCCTCCTGGGTCTGCAGTGGTCAGGAAGAAACTGTGAGGCACCATCAACTTGTAAAGTTTTCCTTACAAAGTGTATTCAGTCAAGGACACTGTGTGTGTGTGTCAAGATGCTATAGGTACTAAGAGGAAGAAGAAAACTAGACACATAAATCATGACAAGAGGGTGACCGAAAGGTCAACTTTCTTGTAGATCATACTTTTCTGTTGTTGTTGGCTTTTGTTTTTTGAGAAAATAATTATTACGTGAAGGGAACAAGCAAACAAGCATTCTATAGAGAGAGAAATTGATTCCCTGATTCTTAAAAATGTATATGTGTATACCTGTGTATAGATGTAGGTATATAGCTATAAATATAACCCTCATTACTAAAGTCAAGGTAATAACTCATTAGGTTTTTAAAATTAAACACTGAACTCTAACATATTAAGTTTAAATATTAAAGTTTTATATTAGCATATAGTTAGATATTAACATGAAGGGAAATTTTTGTTTCCTACAAAAAGTGTGGTTCTCCCAGGTAGAAATAATGGAGAGGTGAACAGGGATTATCTCTCCATTCTGCAGAAGATGACCCCAGGTTCTACAAGCCAGGGATTGAGGAGGGGTGTCTTCCCTGAATACTGGGGGGAATTCCAAACTCCAAAGAGGGAGAAGAGCTGGGACATTTATGTTAGAAGCCAAGAATGGAGTTCAAATAGGTTAACCCAACCAAACGGGACAGAGGCCAGGATGGACACTGGAAAACAGAGTCAGGGTCCCAAGAATGAACAGGGCTGAGTCTGGGACAATTGTCTGCACCAGCTATGCTGTGGCATGGCATGGCATGGTATGGTGTGGCAGGGTGTGGTATGGTATAGTCTAGTGTGGCATGGTGTGGCATGCTCTGGCATGGCATAATGTAGTCTAGGGTCGTGTGGTCTGATGTGGTGTGGCGTACTACGACGTGACATCGTCCATGGCATGGCACAGTATGGTAAGTGGAGCTGATAGACAGGAGAACCAGAGATAGGATGGACTGTGGCTTCGAGAGCATGGTTGGGGACTGAACTAAAAGGACCAACAGGAGAGCTAGCCAGAAATGTCCTGAAGCAGCCAAAGATAGATACAGAAAGAATTGCATTCCAGGGAAGAGCAAGCCCTGGGCGTGTGGACTTGAGTCTTCCTCTGGAGGGACGTGTGATGTGTTGAACACTGTGTACAAGGGTCCAGGTGCTTCACATACATCTCTCACTAAAACCTCTCAACAACCTGCATGACAGCACACTCGAGAAAGTGAGGCTCAGAGAGCTGGAGTACTTTGTCCTAGATCATACAGCTGACAAATGATGGAGGCATGTGTGAACCCTGGTTTACTTTATTCTGAACTTAGGCTTACGACATCCATTATCTCCAAGTAAGATTTCCCTGTCTGAGAGTTCTGAGCAGTGATTCTGGAAATGTAGCACAGCACAGAAGAAGAAAATGAGTACACACCCCTCAGACGACACAGTACAATGTTTTGCAGGCCAGAGATCAGGGGGGCAGGGAATGCATATAGTTTGATACCACAGCCATTGTTCCAATGTATTTTTAAATCCACATTTGCTTTATTTTTTATTAGAGGCATGGGTTTTTAAAAGCTTGAAGAGCACTAGTGTAAAGACAGAAAAATGAGGACAAATGCTTTGGCAACATCTTCATTCAAGAGATAAGCTGATGAAGAGATCACAAGTGAAGGTTGCCGCAGCAGGGGTGGAGACAAGTTATGACTGAGCTCATTGGCCTTGGAAACTGGGTGATCATGGTGACCCTGAAGAAGACCATTGGGAGCAGGCGCCAGAGTCCAAAGGGCTGCCACAACAGCATGGCTGGACAGACCACCCAGACAGACCTGCCCAGAACTCTGCGGGTCTCAGCACTGCTGGGATTGGGAAAACACCTCCAGCCCAAAATTCACCTGTAGATGCCAACAGAGGGACTCCGTCACCAGAGATGAAATGAAGCCCACGGATAATGGCACCACACAGAAGGAAGAGGCCGAGAGGGTCAGCAGAGCCAGAAATAAGAGGACGCACAATCACACATATATTCACACTCACACTCACACATGCTCGTAGTCACACTCACATTTGCACTCATCCATCACATTCACATGCTCACACACGCTCACTTCCACTCACACTCATGCTCTCACGCACACTCATGTTCACACGCACATTCACACTCTCGTGCACTCACACTCATGCACAACCCCACCACATACACAGTTTTGCGAGTGCACGTCTGGAGTGCTTTGCTAGCAGCTCTAGGAAGGAAACCGCGCACAGAGAAACGCTCCAGTTAGGTCCAGAGTAGAACGAGGGGGCGTGGCGAGAGGGCCCAGCGGGAGCTGCCGCTCCATTCCAGGAAGGAGTGCCCCTGCTTTTCCCTGGGGCTCCCTGCACCAGCTGTGACATGGTGAAGGCGCATGATAAGTGCCTTCACGCGCCAGCCTGCTGCCGGGACCCCCGGAAGCCTGTCCCATCGTCCTCCCTTTGTCGTGTATCAGGAAGTTCTGAAGACAGGGTTCCTGTTTGCTGTGGAAGTTCCTTTCTACGAGGTGAGCTGTGGTTCACTGAATGAGGGGTGAACGTCTCTCTCTGCCTGCCCTGGGCTGCCACTGCCCCAGAACTTAGGGAAAGTTCTGCTTCATGCAACTGGAGAAAGGCACTGAAGCCCGCACTTTCCAGACTCAGGTGTGGAAAAATCCTTTCCTACTTGGCCTGGTGGACACGTGACAGTTGGTTTCTAAATTTGACTTGAGTGTCTGCTGCAGCCCACCCAGAGCCCAGTCCTCACTGCCTGCACCTTCCTGCCCCTCCCTGCCTTGGCCAATGAGCTCCCCCTGGGCCAGACCCTACATCAAAGTGCGCTCCTGAGCCACTCTGGAGGGTTTCCGCAGTGAAAGGGTAGAAAGGCAGCCCCAAGCATTGCATTATCATGTTCTCTTGGCCCCGAGGGTGCTGGCTTCAACTGCATCTCTACACAACTTCACATCTCCTGGATGATTCCCCTTCCGAAGTGTTTTGGAAACCACTAGAAGCAGGGGTGACATGGCATGGCATAGCGTGGTGTACTGTGGCATGGTACGGTGAGTGAAGCCAATAG